CTTAACTGTAGAATAGAATGTGTATGTAATACACTTTTGTTGAAACTAGGTGCAGAGGTGTAGATCCTCACATATCAGGGTTCAGTATGATTTGGGTCACCTTTGTTATCAACTAGATTTGTTTTCATCTCAATGTCCTCATTATTAGCATTCTTGTTGGCATCAACTCCCCTAAAATGCAAAATAATCCAGTAACCTGTTAATCAACCACAAATGATGAGGTTATGTAGTTTTTTTAGCTGGGGAGCCTTAACTTGAACTCAGTGTACTCACAAGAACCAGCAAAGACTCTTTATGTCAATTCATTTTACACTGGATTTGAACTTTCTCACTGCTATTTGTGAATATAAACCCTACAAAAATGCCTCTTTGGGATTTGTATGAGGTTATCATGTCTAAACAAATCAAGACTATTAAACATCTTAGAAGGACACTAGCCTGCAATCAATTTTGACTGAATGATACATGTACAATTAAGCCTTAGCTTTAATTTTCATTAAATTTAACCATTTATGTACTGCACCCACACCTGAGACTATTGCCATTTTAAAATAAAAAAATTAATTAATTTTTATCGCACTTTCTTTCTTTTCACTGCTAACTGTACTTACTTTTTGCCAATAGCTAAGACACCATACAAGGCAGCAGTTATCATGATGGAGCCACAGCCAACAAATGTGGACACTTCAAGGCAAAATATTACTGGAAGAATAGCCAACCTATCAAACAAATCATAAAACAGATCTCTTTTTATAGCGTGTATGTTTTGTTTTCCAATAGAGGGTCTCAGGGTAATTTGTCTTTTCACAAATTGTGTGTGAATAAGACAAAATTTGAAAGAAACTGAGACCTCAAGAGTATTATCACATGGCATGCTAATGAGAAAACAAAACAATTAACAAGCTAAAGAGGTCTATTAAAACTTTAAATCACTCAGTCCTGCATCTACACCTACCCCAATATTATTGAAATGGTTTTGAAGATTCAGGGGTGATATTCAGGCAGTAAAGGCCTAAACTTGTCTGGCTTTTATAAAATGTCATTAGACCCAAGTGTTATTGAGTAGGTGGAAAATGTTCTAATGGAAGCTGCCAATCCACTGGCTCCTGGCTCATTTTGCCTCCGTTGTACACTTTTGAAAACTGATGGAATATGTTTTCTGAAGTGAAAGAAAGAAAAGGGATGCTTGTTTTCTTGATACATGTACATGATTATGTAAAAACATAATTTCATCTGGTCACTTATTTTCAATCAATGTACAGTGCACATGTCAGGTTAAAATGACAAGCAACCCTTAATGATCTGCACAAATAGTCATCTTGGTCAAACAATGTTGGTTGACTGGCCATTATTTTGAGCCTTGTGCAGACTACAGGATTACTGACATCTATTAACAGTGACTAGAACTTACAGGAAATACAAGGTTCCTCTCATCCAGAATCTAAAGTGGGTATCAATCCAGTTGCTCACGGTTACTAGAGCTGGTACATATTGACAACACACAGGAGCTTCAAAGCCAAGAACTAGTGCACCCATTAATCTAAAATATCAAAAATGTTCCTGGTCATTTTTAGGTCCATAATAATAATATCATTATCTCAAACAAATGAGACAAAGAAAAATGGAAATAAAAAAGAAACTAGTTTTGAACAATTTTAAACAAAAGAAAAAATTTGAACTACAACAGTAATAAAATACATTTATTTTTTGACTAAAAAATTAATACTATGCTGTAAAATGGACTACACCTATGATGAGTACAAGCTAATGAAACATACAAGAGAAAATACCAAACACTTAACACATAGAACATTATTTAAATGAAAAAATCAATGCATTAAAATACAGACTAAGTCCTTACCTACCAGGAAGATTTTTTCATAATAGAACACAAGAAATCACATCCAACCAAAAATACCATTAGTTGATCCCAACCAAACACCACCTTAGATAAGATTTTATGTACTTAGGTCTGATTTTATGTGGCTAAATAAAATTTAGGCAAAGTTAAACTCGAGATAGTGCTGGCCAGCTGTTTCTCTCATCATGATATTGCATCGTAAGGGTTTGTGGGTCTTTTTACAGGCATTCTCTTGAGTTCAAGTGTCATTGCCTGTTGTGACTTGTGCTTGTGAAGTGTGTATATGGTAAGTATGTTAGGTTCCACTGGTTGGCAGTGTGACGGTGCCTGAGTGGATGCCACTCTTATGGTTGTTAAGATTATGCATTGCACTTGGCTGAAGTTCAGGGCTTCACCGGCCTGTCAAGCACCTCCCCGCTATGCTCATCTCTGTTGCTGAGTTTAACTAATACATTAATAGGTCAAATACTTTCCACACCACAAGGCATATGAGCCTGATGGTATTTCTCTTCTATATAACAGAAATTTAGTCCTGAGAATTGCCCAAAAGGCCACCACAAGATTTACAAAGTAATTGCTTTGGCCCTTGAAATAAGACTTACATCATATATATTCCCATTCCTAAACATGTCGCTGATAGTGTGAAAAGAACGAAGAAGCCAAGAGCAGCAGAACCTGATAAATTAATAACAAAACAGATATGCAAGTTATTACAGGCACAAGACTTGTTGCCAGTTTTTTAATGAAATAATTATAATAAATAAATATATAAATAAACGATAATGATTTAGAAGAAGCACATCAATGTAGTGACTCTTCGTCTACCATTCCTGGTCCAACTGGAATTTGAAAATGGTGGTTTTTGAGACGGGAAAACTGGGCCACCTGAAAATAAACCTCTTGGACCAAAGTTGAGAACCAACAACAAACTTAACCCACATATGGTGTCAATGCCAGGATTTGAACCCGGGCCACCATGGTGTGATACAAGTGCTCTTACCACTGCACCACCCTTGCTCAAACATAATTCACTTGACCACTGATAACTCTAACATTCAAGGGAAATAGAAAAAGGTTTGAGGTATTGATGATAAGGAAAGAAGGTTTTTTCACTATACAGTGAATATTTAATCATGCAAATTGAATTATTAGAAGTCAAGAGAAAAAGGAAAGATATTTGTAAATTACAGAGCAGAACATAATATCATAAAATAAAACAAAGCAAAGTAAGTATTTCTAGACTGCAAAACAGTCGGTTTTTTTCTCAAAATCAGTAAAGAAATTGGTAAAGCGTGGCAGCCTCGTTCCAGACCTTTTATTTGACTGCTCGCGCTTGCTTGAATACGCAAAAATACGGACTGTTTTGCAGTCTATTCCATTTCTTACACATTTATATACAAAAGGTTGGCATGGCACAGTTCCGGGGGGGGGGGGGGAAG